CCCCTAGATCAAGGTGGGGTACCCTACTCTTCCCAGTCCAGAGCGCTTTTTGCAGGAAGTAACTTCAGAGCTGTTCTCATGGCTACAAAGCCACACCCTGGCAGCCCATGTGCGACTCTTCAAGCATCTGCACACCTGTGTGTCAGGCACTGTGCTTTACGACAAACACGAGGATGTTTGTATTTTCCCTGTGGCTGAGATGAGGAAATGGACTCTGAAGGATCGCCAAATCCTCACACAGCCAGACTGGGCTCCCTCTTGGCAGGTCCCGTCCCTTCCCCCTCACAGGCTTTTTTCTCCGTGATGGGCCATCCACCCCCACGCTTGTTCCTTCCGTTCGGCAATTACCCGCACTCTTGCCACATTCCACCCTCCCCAGAGACTCCCTGGCAGGAGGGACAGGTTGCAGGCAAATGGGAAATTCAGGATCATCAGATGTACTGGTGCCTTTCCGCTTTTTCTGGTGCTCACTTTTCCAGGTAAGGACATTAGCACCGAGTCACCAGCATCCCCAGGTCAGGAGCAGAGCATCCAATTCCAAAGCTGGCCAGTGGTGTTCCAGCTCAGTGCATCGCCCAGGGTCGCCTGGAATGTAACCAATTCGGTGAATGGCCCAGGATGGATTGCTCACTAGGAAGCATCTATCCAGGGCTTGTTAGGTGCAAGCTCTGTTAGGCCACGGGGGAACAAAGATAAATAAGACCTCTCTGCCTTCAAGGAGCTTACAGCACAGCAGGGAATTGATGCCCAGATCGTGCTGAGAAAGAGATAAAGACTAAGAGTGGGCTGGAGAGATGGACCTCAGCACCCTCCTTTAGCATTCTGCAACCTCCTGCCAGCAGGGGCGCTGTGAAGCTGGAGGCCATGCTTCTAGTTACCTGTTCCTCTAGCCCCTCATGCACTGTGGTCTCATCCTCACCCTTTGTCAAGTGTTCTTCTTGGCAGCTCCCAGGAGTCACCTCATCCAAAAGCCAGCCCAGATGGGTCACCAGCTCAGGGTGATTCCTTTACAGAGGCTGGTAGCCCTCAGAGGCTACTGGGCACATAGATGTCTGCATTAATGCTTTAATGTGCCCCACAAACCTGTGATTCTGCTGTTGTATCCATTTCGCAGAATTAAAAAAAAAAAAAAAAAGCTGAGTTAAAGGAAGCCACACGCAAGCAGAAAAGCTGAGAAAGTCCGTCCATCCTACTGTAGCTTTTGCACACACAGCATGCACTGTGGGCCTCGTGACCGCCCAGGTGTGTTGATCCAGAAGCTGAGGTCTGGGAAGGCTGAGAGGTTAAGCTCTGTTGGTCTACGGTGCCGCTGAAGTTCAGGTCCAGGGCCGACACCTGGCTGGGCTTCATCCTAGAGCGTTCGCTTTGGAAGCCGCACAGACCTTGCATATTTTCAGTCACCCCGAGTCCACCTGTTTTGGGGGAGCATTGGGTCTGCACTTTTCTGGTGGGTGAAACAAAGACAGAATAGTCTTGACCACACTATCCAGAAAAGCTAAAAAGACCGCCACCTGGTGGCTTCCTGGGTGGTGGCGAGGGACCTGGGCTGGTGCTGTGAGCTGTGTAAGAAGGGTGACCTTCCAGAGCACCCACGGTGCCAGACGCTCTGCCCAGCACTTAGCCTGGCCCCTTTCACTCGGTCTTCACACACACTTCGTGAGCTTGGTCTTATTACAGCATCATTCCCATTTCCAAGGCAAGGGCACTGAGGCTGAGAGGCTAAATGACCTCCTCAAGGTCACGCATCCTTCAGCCCCCCAAGCTGGCATTCCAATCCCGGTTCTTCTGGCACCGATCCTGCATCTTCTCACCCACTCTTCCCCATCCTGACTCTTCCATAGCTGCAGCAGCCCCAACCTCTTTCTCTTCACATAAGGCCTTTGCATTTGCTATTCCCTTTGTCTGAGACATTCTCTCAGGTCTGCCCATCCCTGTCACACATCTCCCTTAAAGAGGCTAGTCCACCCACGCATCCAAGTTGCCCACTATCCAGCCAGCCAACTGCATGGACTTCTTAGGGTTTAATGCTGTCAGAGTTGTGGATTTTTCCCTTGTGTTCTTCCTGGGGCAGGAGGCAGGACAGCTGAGAGCAGGGAACGTCCATCCATGGTGGCTCCATTCGCTGGATACATAACTGGAAGCAGAGGCCGGAGAGAAGAGGTTCTATGACTGGCCTTTCGTCCATTTGCCTGGAAGGCGTTCTCATCCCTGTGGTTTCCCATCACTCTTGATGCCCCCTCCCCACCCACCTTTTGATACCTCTTCTGTCTATCCAGGGCCAGTCGTGAGCTCCTGACAGAGCCCAGGCTTCGTTCAATCTACAGCAAAGTATCCGTGCAGTGGGAAAGGAAAGGCCACATTTGGTGCTCCGGGTTTGATGTAGTTTTAGTGCCTGGGCTTTTTGGTGGAGTTTGTTGTTAATTCTGGTAATTAGCCTGTATCCTACTGATATTGCTCTTGGCCATTTAGAAAGGGGTTTAATTGGTCATTCAAGCCTGGACCCTGTTCTGTTCTCCAACTTTATTACTTTTTCCACCACATTCAGAACCTGGAAAGGTAGATTAGCATCTCGGGATTATAAACTGCCTGTTCTCACTCACCCACACTTGGACAGGTTCCAGGAGGCAGAGTCTGGCTTGCAAATTTGAATTTAGAGTCCTGCTCCTATACAGAGAAGGCAGACCCAGGCTCAGTGCCTGTGACCTGCTAGTTGGAGGAGCAGGCTATATGCTTGCAGAAGTGAGGCTGTGGCCACGACAGGAGGAGTTAATAGGCATCGTTGCCGAACTGATGCCGTTTCAGAGAGTGAATGAAGGCCGGAGAACCGGCTGAGCGGCTGAGTGGCTGTGAGGTGTCAGAGTGAGTCTCCCACCCTCTCATTAGAGCTACCATTGTTGTACTGTGTTTCCTTCCTGATTCTGGAAAAAAAATCAGCAGAGCCAAATGATCACTAACTGCCGGCAGTGCTGGTATTCTAGGCCTTTTTCTGGGAGTGGGTGTGAGAAAATACCCAAGGAAAAGAGGTTATTGTCCACTGTGCAGGATCCCATTGGCCTCAGGTGCTTAGCAGGGCACATGGCCACGTGTCTTCCCAGCAGCCACGCTAGGGGCCTCTGGTTGTCGGGAGAGGGAAGGAGGTTGGGCACTCACAGCTAGAGGGCCTGGAGCGGAGCGGGCCAGTCTGCTCTCACTTATCACAGGCAGCTAGCACCTCACCCCTTTCCTACCCTCTGCTCCAGAAAGCCTTGTCCCTCAGGATGGTTGACCCTTCCCATGGTGCACCAGTTTAACCCTCTCAGTGACTCGGAAGGGACAGCTCAGCTGGGGATCAGACTGCTTGGTTTGCTCCAGACTGCTCCTGGCTCCTCATTAGACAGCTCAGAGGTGAAGGCTGACCTTGATGTAAGTAATGGGCAGTGGGGCCTGTGTCACAGACTGGCCCTACGGGACAGTGTAAATCTGTAACTACATCATCCACAGTCCAACGAGAGCTACATTTGTGCTGAGGTCAACAGCAGCAGCAGCAGCAGCAGCAGCAGCAGCAGCAGCAGCAGCAGCCACTGGCTGGGCCCTGGGCACAGTGACACACTCCTATACACGTTGTCTATGAGGGGAGTGAAAAGGATACATAAACCCCTTTTTTTCCTGTCTATGGAGGCTGGGTCTCCTGCTCCTAAAAATTGAGACACACCCCCCAAGGCTGATTTACCAGAATGGATAGGCGTCCTTATGTTGGGAAGATAGTAACCCACCAGACAAGACAAGAGGCTTTTTTATTTTTCTCAATGAAAAACTAGGAAACATGACCCGGCCCACTGGCTCTCCTGAGCAGAACCTTGCAGGATCGGGAGCAGCTGTCAGCACTGTTCCTAGCATGGTCTCCTACTTCTTGGCGCCCTTCTGTCCCACATTCCCTGTTCATCATGTCACTGTCTGGCTACCCAAATCCCTCCCACAAAGGTTGATCATTCTGACCTGTCTCTCCTTCCAGAGTATCCCACCTTCAAAACTGTCCATTCATATCTACAACCAAACTGACTGTTTTCAGCCCGAATCATCCTTTCCTCGCTTATTTTGGTGGAAATTTTAACAACTGATCGGTATAATTCACACTAAGATGTGAATGACCGACAGCCACCTGCACCGACAGATGTCTTTCTTTTTAAAGATTCTGGTTGATGTCTTGCTCACAGGATCCTGGCTGCCTGGCGTTCCAGGTTCTGTAGAGGATAGGCCCCATGGAGCTAGGTAGAGAGAGACCACCTTCCTCAAGGGGCTATTTTCCACAGGGAGAGCTTTTACCTGATCTTGCTGGTCTCTGAACAGAGCCCAGTGGATATAGAGAGCCCTTCCAGCACCTTTCCTGTTGGGCACCACCTCACCTTTCCGAACCCCCTCTTCAGTGAGAAACCATTTTAATAAGGCTGTAATTTTGTTACAGAAGTTTGTAATTAAATATCCTTAAAAGAAATGAGGTTGCGGGTCCCTATCTCCCAATTTATCATAGACTTAATGCCCCAAGTTACACGCTGTTTAATTAAGAATGTATCCCCGTTGTAACTGCATGCAGCGTCCTGGCCTTGGAGATAGGCAGTGCTCGGAATTTATCATGAAGGGTGCTCTCTGTTCTTGTTGTCCTGTTTACCGAGAGATCCAAAGTGAAGACAGCCTTCCTACTCAGAAACGATAGGCTCTTCCTCACTCCAACCCTGCAGGGCCTCTCTCCTTCAATAAACTCATCTTCAGTTCCCAGAATCCGAAACACAGTATTAGCTTTTTCATTTAAGGAACCAACATGCTCCCCCTGCTGGCTGAGAGTTGCCAATATACCTTTGTGCTGGAAAATCACAGCCTTGTCTTTGGTTTCCCTGGAAACCATGCTTAGAGCGCCTACTATGTGCTAAGAAACCATGGTAACATCACCTACTATGTGCTAGGTGCAATGCTAAGGGATATAAGAAGGACCAGGCCCCTATTCCCAAAGAGCTCAGAGTCTTATAGGAGAGACAGGATGCACATATACAGTTAACATCTGTTAACTACAGGATCACAGAGGATGGAGAAAGTACGTCTTCCACAGAGATGAGAAAGACTCCACGGAGAGGCTACCATCTGACCTGCAGCTTGGAAAACTGCTAGATTTTGGAAGATTACCAGAGAGAGGATGGCCAGATAGGAAGGTGTTGGGGCCTGGGGGCCTGAAGAATTCTATGCACAAGTAGAAAAGAGCGTCACCAACATGATGATAGTGAGTGCCGGATCAGAACCTAGAACCCACATTTTCTCACTCCAGCTCTCACTTACCAAGAATCCCAGGCCGAGAGAGGGCATGGGGCTGGGGGAGGGAAACGCAGATGTCAGGGAAACAGAGGAAGGAGCGCGCATTGCCGCAAGAAATTCAATCCCACTTACTGAGGAAGTGAAATGGTCTGGCTAATTTAATTTCCTAATTAGAAGGAAGTTCTGAAGAAAGCTTGCTTTGTTAGAAATGTGGATTTTTAAAAAATTTCCTTAAATGTTTTATGCTGCTTTCCTGCCTTAGCAAGCAAACCAAAGGCACCCGTTCAGTCACGGATAACCCTGGGCCTTACCATGTTTCATAGTGCAGCATACAGCCCATAGTACAGAGCACACAGCCTTAGCAGCCAGCCCTCAAACTCACCATCAGCAGTGGATTTACCTACTGCAGATTTCTTTATCAGCTGTGGATAAGAGCATTCTGGTCAAGCCAGGGACCTGACTCCCCATGCCCCAGGCAGTCAAGGCTTTTTGAGTTGTTTTGGGAGACCCTCCAAAACCCCAGGAAGTGCTGTCCACTCCCAGAACTCTGCTGGGCTATTAGACTTTGCCAGGAACCTGCAGATGCTTGGAGCTGGATTGAGAAGGAGCAGGCAGGGTATTCTGCTGACATGGGCTGGCTCATGTACGTATCCCCACTAGAGTGCCCCTTCCCCGGAAATTATGAGAAATTAACAGAGTTGGTCTGGAGTGGGTGCCAGTTCAGATATGGAGGCAAGCCTCCTGGATGGTCCCCAGTGTTTCCTGCCTTTGAGAGTCATGTCCTGTGTAGGCGGTCTCCTGTATTATAACAGGGATGGTCCATGACCATGAGATATGCCAGAGATGATGGGGCACTGTTCCTAGGTTTGGATGGAGAGTGCAGCTTCCATCTGTCTGCCTTACAGATCACCTGCTCTGAGGAAAGCCTACTACCACTTTGTGAGCCTCACATAGAGAGACCCAAGGGACAAGGACCTCAGGACACCAGCCACCTGCCACTGGAGTGAGCCTCCAAGCAGAGCGCCCTGTCTTTTCAAGTTACAGCGGCCCTGTTGACATCTTGACTGCCACTTCAAGGGAATCTGAACTGGAACCACTTGGCTCAGCTGTTCCCAGAGTCCTGATCCCCTGAAACTGGGGGACATGGAAATGTAAAGTGACTAAATGGAAGTGAGTAGGATGGCTACAGTAGATAACCAGTCCTCACTAGGGCGAGGGATCCCTGGGCACGCTCACCCTAACTCAATGGCTAGCATACTCTTGCATCCTGAGATTTTTAAATCCAGATGCAGCCATGACACTTAGGCCAACCTAGTTCCCTCATTTACAAGTAGGAAAGGTGGGGCCAAAAGGGAATTGCCTTATGTGTAGACATGTCGAGACAAGACTCAGGTCTCTTGATTTGGGGTTCAGTCTTGCACCCCATTCCTATTCCCAGCCCTTACACAGCTCTTCAGTTTACTACCTTTTCGTTTATTGATTGTAGAGTCCCTACTGTGTGCTAGGAGCTGTGCGAGGGCCAGAGCAATAAAGAGGCTCTGAATACACTTGGGGACTATGGCAAACCCTCCTTGAAATCACACATGCAAGAGGTAGAGACTGGATGGGTGAATGAGTCAGGGGATGTGTGTTAGTGCTTGCTCTGCCACTCAAGTCCTGGACTCCTCCTCATTCTTTGAAATGAACCTTCCAGGCCAGTATCCAGTATGGAGACTAGGATTAAGACATAGGGGCTAGCGAGGTGGCTCAGTGGGTAAAGGCACACGCTACCAAGCCTGATGACCCGAGTTCAATCCCTGGGACCCACCTGGTGAAGGGGAGAATGACTCCCACAAGCTGTCGTCTGACTTCTTCATGTGCACTGTGGCAAACACACACACACACACACACACACACACACACACACACACACACACACAATTGTGATAATTGTTTTTAAAAGGAAATAGGATCAGGGTTATGGAGATGCCTCACTGGGTAAAATTCTTGCTAGGCAAGCTTGAAGAGTTGACTTCAGAAGATCCATGTCATCTATAACCCTAGCACTGAGAAGAGGGTGTTGGAGCTGAAACAGTAAGCTCTGGGTTCATTGAGAAACCTTGCCCCCAAATAAGGTGACAAGCAATAGAGGAAGGCACTCAGTATTGATCTCTGGCCTCGGCAGGCAAGGGGTGTGCACATACATGTATGCACAGCGGCGGGGTCATAGTATTGCCTGGAAAGCAAATGGTGAGGCACCATAGAGGAAAATTAATTAATTAATCTTTTTGAGTATTAGGCATGCTCTATGCATCCGCCCCTTCTACATATATGAGACACTTTTTATCCAAGAGTCAGGGTTTCCTGACATGTTAGAAGTTCATCTGTGAGTGATCCATGACTCAATAGGCCAAGTACTCCTAATGTTCTCTAACCTGATAATTTAGAGGAGAAGATGGATATAAGGAAGGACAGTGATTGGCCCCATACCTCCCAGCAAGTTGCAGTAAATGAGATCTGGTCCAGGCCGCCCCCCAGCAGAGTGCTGGCTTACAGCAAGTACACAGAATCTGAGGGAACACAGTGCTTCAGGAAGCCCCATGCTGGAATTTATTTTCTTCTAATATCTCTCAGGGACAGACAGAGTGGCTCAGACAACCGACTCTCCAGAGCCAGGCTAGCAGGCACCAAAGGATACCTCCTAAGCAAGGGCTATTAGAGAAAGGGCCTGGCAGAACCAGCAGATAGAATGGGAGAGTTAGGCTATGTGGTAGAGCCCCCTAAACAACTGGCTTCCCAGTGGTCTTTGGCTGGTGCTGGGGGCTCAGGTGGCTCTTCTGCCATGTAGTGACAGTTTAGTTGTGAGGTGGCCTTGGGCTACTCTGTTATCAACCAGTGTGGCACAGTGTGGATTAGCTAGGTCTTAATGCCAGTCACTTGGGCTCAGTCACATCTTGCTCTTTAGTAGCACCATCTTAAGCCACTAGCCAGCCTCTTTTCCTGACCATGACATGGGGACCCTGATGGCCCTTCACACCACAGGCTTGTCTTGACCAGAAGACAATGGTGTAATAAGTGCTATATAAACATATGACAACTAGGACACCTAACAAGCAAACAAGCGACTCTATTCCTTCAGGCTTTGGGTTTTGCCTATACTTAAAAAATGGTTAGATTTCAGTTACACATGACAGCTTACCCCAGCACTTCAGAGACAGAGGCAGAAGGATAGCTCCAAGTTCAAGGCTATCCTGCCCTACAAACTATCAGGCCAGCCAGCTACATAGTAAGACCCTGTTTCAAGAAAAAAAAATAGATTTTAAAAATTGGTCCCCTTGAAATATAAACTTGCCACAGTTGTTTGTATCACCTACTGTGAATATATGCTTGACCATGATCCTATAGTGGCTAGTTCTATGCATGGTGTGTAAGTGTACACTAGGATGAGTGACTTGTGACAGACACATACATTCTTAATCACTACCTCAGTCAGGGTGCAGAAGGTTCCGTTACCTCACAAAGCTTACCTGCCCTCATCCCAGGCAGCCCCCCTTTATTTCAAGCCCCAGCTCAGGCGACCACGATCTTTGCCACCAAAGGTAGAGAGGACACAGTTCTACCAGGGAGCAGCTGCCAGGCAGCTGAAGTATAGGTATATATTTATTATATGATATGACTACAGTACCCCATAGGTTCTGCCATCACTCTGTCAGACACACTAGGAAAGCTTATTTTTTAAAGATGAAAACAAATGCAAGAAAATTAGTAAGCAAAAGGATGACTCATGAATAATTGGTAAAGGGGATGTGAAAATATTTGTTTAATTCTTGAAGTTTTTTTTTTGTTAGTTGGGCATTATGCCAAAATAAAATTTTACACCAGATAAACATAACTATCAGTAGACAGAGAGGAACCACTGAGCATGTTGAACACAAGTCTTTTCTCAGAATCCTCTGGAACATCTTCAACCCTGCCACAGCCCAGGTCTGGCTCTGCGGGTGAGGCCTTGGGTGTCCCCGCTCGGTGCAAAGCAAGGCAGTCAGAGCTCTCCAAGACTCGGGGCCTTGGCAAGAGAGGTCCCCTCCAGCTGGCTGAGTCCACACTGGCCTTTGGCATAGAAAGGGCCGAGCTTGAATTTGGCGGGCAAAGAGCTGGCTCAGGTTAGCATGGCAGCTGTGTTTGCGAAAACGCTTTGTGTCCATAAAGCACCGTATGCATCGCAGGGCTTAGGGTATCCTGCATCCTTAGAGAACAAGCCTGCTCAAGAGCAAATTAAGTATGTATACCATAGAATGTCAGCTACTTATCAGGCCATAACTACTGCTATTGTTACTACGACTAGGGTGGCCAGCCATGCGGTTTGCCTGGGACATCCCAATCTTAGCCTGATAGACCTGCTCCCTCTCCTTGTGGGCAAACTGGGAGGGCTAGCCACCTAGGGCAATTTGCCAGGCCAGCTTCACATACCATGGTATTAGCCAGAACAGGGCTGCCATAAAAATAATATTGCAATTGGGCATCTAAACAGCCGATACTAAGTTTCTCACAGCTCTGGTTGCAAAGCAAGGTCTTACTGTTAGGTCCCTGGTGAGGGCTTTTCTTCTGGGGCTTGTCACTGTGGGCTCCTTGGCGTGCCCTCACATGGCCTTTCTTCCGTGTTCACAGGAGGAAAGTGACTCCTAGTGTCTCCTCCTTTTACAAGGCAGAGTAGGATCCACCTCTGTGACTTCATTTTAACCGCAGTTCCTTCTGAAAATGCCCCCTCTCCGAAGCAGTCACCTGTGAATTTTGAGAGGTTACAAACATTCAGTCATACCCGCTACCACCCACTTGTCCATCACCCCCATCCTCTTCACTGTAGCTTTGGCCTTCGCTGTCCCGGTTCCCACACAGGCAGGTGTCCCCTGCCATCACCTCCTGCCATTGCCTACCCCGTTTCCTTTGGTTCTCAGCACTTTGCTGCTCATGAGGAATGTTCTAGGTCCTAGAACACCCCTTTCCTGAAGCCACACATTTATATGAGCCAGATCTCCAGTCCCAGAAAAGAAGTTCTGGTCCTTATAGCCCCAGCCTTCCCTTTGCCTGGCTTTGCCCCGACAATGTCCATGGCACCACCAAGGAGCCCACCAGCTACACAAACAGGGCTTATGAGAGTTAATGAGGCTCAGGTTGCTAGCCCTCCTGGAGGTCACTGTCACCCAGAGCCATGCCCCCAGGGCCCCGTGCTGGCCTCTTCCTGTCGCCGGGACATCATTAGAAATGTTAATTATTAATTATCACTAAAAGCCCATTTTGCTGCATTGCTGTTCTCGGGTATTCTTGCCATCTCTCTTTTCCCCCTTTCTTTCTGTAACGGGATCCTGGTTCCTGGGTTTCCCGTTTTCCTTCTAGGCCTCTTCCTCTGCTTACCTCTCCACTACAGCCTGGGAGCCAGGGGGAGACATTTGGACACAGCCTTCGCTAGCATGCCTGCTTCTTTAATTCAAAGTACGGAGGATCCAAGGATCCAAGGACACACAAACTGGGGGACGCTGGGCAGGAACTGGGTTCTCAATAGGCCATTCCTTCCACTTTCTCTGTCACTCAGATGCTAAGACAGCTTTAGGGACACACACACACACACACACACACACACACACACACACACACACACACAATGTCCCTTTGGGGTGTGTGTGTGTGTGTGTGTGTGTGTGTGTGTGTGTGTGTATGTGTTACTTTTGGCCCTGCGTTTTCTTACAAAAACATCCCTACATCCATTATGGTGCTGAAATGGCCTTACATCCAACCATGGTATCAGACCTCCACTGTAGATGAAAAGGAAGAGCCCAGGAGAATAAGGGAACAGCTCAGAACCACAGCTACGAGACCTGATCACCTTGCTTTTTCTTGGGCCACATGGTTTGCTGGACAGAACATGGCCTGGGAGTTGAGATACCTGGGTTTGAAATCTTGTTTTGCCATGTGCTTGCTGTGTCGACTCAGATGAATTAGATGGGCACTCTGAGCCTCATTATTAAAATATGGCAATAATTTTCCCTCTTTGGGATATTGGGAAATTTAATGAGGCTATGATCTTGCCTGCCTCATAGTAGATTTTTAATACACGTTTGAGTCTTAGACATAAAAAAGAAAAGAAAAAGAAAACTTGTCCTTTCTATGTGACAGAGCTGAAGAGCTGAACTTCTAGA